GATGGACAAAGTCACAGGCAGGGAAGTCTGCAGCGCCCCCCACTGTCCCCACCCACACAAGAGCAGCTGCTGACATCGGGCTTAAGAGGTGAGGACATTCTCACCACTTGCACAGTGACTTTCCATAGAGAAGGTGGATACACACGCCAGCTTCTATAGTGTCACCTGCTACCACGGATTTTCTTTACTGTCTTCATTTCCATCTGATGAAGAGAAGGCTGAGCATTTGTCCTTACTTTGTGTTTCTCACAAATGAATAAGCACAGCATGGGAAGAATATTTTTTTTCACGTCTCTGTTTGGAGCAAAGCACCTGCAGTATTTGTCATTTGTAGTCTATACAGATGGTGTGTAAGGATGCTCTACAGTTACACAAAAGTTCTACTTTCCAAGTAAGCAAGGATTGCATCAACAGTGATCTTGTCTCTGTCCCTTGCTATCCTTGCACTCTGACAGTTTACCTAAACACACTGCTCTCCTACATCAGGGACTGAAAGAGACGTGTTCCATAGCCAGCTGTGAACTAAATAAAGTTAGACATTTTAACTGAGACAAGGCTGACCACAAAGTACAATGGTGTCACGTAAGAGTTTTCCCAGTTAAGATTGTAGGAGCCAGTGCTCCCTGCAGGTGGTGGGGACCCTTGGTGTGGCCACAGGTCTCAAGATGGTTTGTGACTGGACTGTGATCCAGGTACTGGAGACATTTTTGGGTCTTCTGAGGCTCCTTTGTGCCACAGTTCAGGCTGCAGACAGCTGGCGGCTGTCAGGCAGCAGAGAACAGGACCTCTAGATGTACTCTTCCTGGGAAGCTTCGCTAATTGGCACAGCTAAACAATATTTCTTTTTTTGTGTGTGTGGTGGCACTGGGGTGTGAACTCAGGGCTTCACACTTGCTAGGCAGGCACTCTTACGGCTTGAGCCACTCCATCAGCTCTCTTTTCTGTGATGGCTTTGTTCAAGATAGGTTCTTATGAAACATTTGCCCAGCACTGACTTTGAACTGTGATCCTCATAATCTCTGCCTCCTGAGTAGTTTGGATTGCAGGCATGAGCCACCGGTGCCTGAATGACATCACCTCACTGTGGTGGCTGGGACTCGGCTCCAAATTCTTTGGACTCAGCTCCAAATTCTATATAGAGAAGGCAAGGGGGTCTGTGTCTTCCAGTGGCATCAAGACAAGAGGTGCCTGTAAAGTCTAGGTGGCACTGCCATCCAGGCCTCTCCCATGGAACTGACCAGAGTCCAGGCCACCTCAATGGATTGAGATCCTGCACTCTGCAAACCACCCAAGATGGAAGTCCAGTGATAGAAGTGGAAAACCCCACAGACCCATAATCTCAAGCCCGGTGACTTGAATGTGCTCACACTCATGGCTCCCTGAGTGCTTTCTCTTCTAGACACTCCTCTTTTACCTCCTTGATCTTCAGCTGGCAATGCTCTTTGGTACTACTTGAGCCACTGATGTGGGAGGGATGTTTCTTTTAAATGTCACAAGGCAAACATTCATCTTGCATAACCTCTCCTGTACTAGTTTAACTTCAATGTGGTTGAGAACTTGCTAAGGACACTAAGTCCACTGATTGCTATTGTCAAATACATGGTGAACTATTTTGGAGGGTGCTAGGTTTCCAACCAAGGGCCTGCATGGTAGGCAAGTGCTGTCCCACTGAGCTACATCCCAAGCCCCTGGTGGCTGCATGTTTTTAAAATAAAGATGACATTAAGAATAGTTGGATTACAGACTTGAGCATGATGTGAAATTAGCATCACCTTCTTGTGGTTTTTTTGTTCAAGTCAGGGCCTGAAAGTGCAGGGGTGCAGCAAGGTGGCAGAATTCAAAAGTTTTCTAGGAAGAATTTTCCACCAAAATGACCCTCAGACTTTTATGCAGCACTTATCTTATGAGGAAAGGAATAAAGACAACCCCCATTTTTCTCCTCCCAGTGAACATGTTCAGTGTCTTGAACACAGTCCCAATACTTGATATTTTGCTTTGGATGGCATTTTGTTCACGGAATAGCTGACCTCGTGGAGAACCCCTGCAGTAGGGCTGGGGGAATGGCTCAAGTGGTAGAGCACTTGTCTAGCAACCACACGATCTTCAGGTCGAACCCCAGTAATAACCCCATCTTTTCCCCCAAAAAAGACTGAAGTCTAAAACGGGAAGAAAGATTAATTTGTGCCTCTACCTTTGTTTTCATCTTCACAGTCCTGGAGATGGAACTCAGGACCTTTCAAATGCTAGACAAGAGCACTGCTACTGAGGTATACCCCTAGGCCATTATCTCATTTTGAGAATAAAAATAATTTCTACTTCCTCAGAACAAAAGATTAAAAAAAAAAAAACAAAACAAAAACAAGATGGTAAGAAAGGGGTGTTTGCACTAGAAAGAATCCTTGAATTTGTATGTTTGGTGTTTTACTAGGCTACCCATGTGTGCTATGAAGCTATGAAATTTCTCATGGTGCTGGGCACACATGGCCTGGGGCTCAGTTCAGCCATGGCATGAGAGTGAACAAGCAATCCACACAGGGCACTGTGTCCAATGACTCCCCCACGAGACAGTCAAACCTCACTGTAAGACACACTTTGTGTGAGATGAGTTTGCCAACCACAGGTAATGGGAGTGGTATCTCAGCTTTGCTGTTCATTGGATTAGGTGTACAAAGTACATTTTCATCTTACCCTGGGTTTAGGGAAATGTAACCTTATCCTAGGTTGAAGAACATCTGTATTTATAGAGAAAATGATCCAATACAGTCTAGGAAACAGTTCCATGCTCACATACTAAGTCAGAAAGGCAAAAACACATGCAAACACTACAGTCGGCCTCACACAGCAAGGTTAAGTCTTATGAAGAAGTGTGTCCTTGGTGACAAGGATGGACAAAGACAAAAACAAAGATGTCCTGTTCACAAGTCTTAAAATTTACAAAACTCATTCTGATAAAAACAAATGAACAAAGTTCCCCTCATTAATGTGACTGCCTCCAGTGCCTCTAATGGTGAGTAGCAATCAATTCCCTTAAAGCAAATACTAGGTCTGGCCCTGAGGCTCAGGCTTAGCTCTCATGTCCTCCGTGAGTGGGCTGGGAGACCTGATTGGGGTGATGGAATGAGAAAAGACAAAGACACAAATAGAGAAAAAGCTAGAGCCGGATGGACTACATGCTCCTGATGGGAAACGTTGAGTCCTGAACTCTTTCAGCACATTTATTTTATGTGTAAGTACAAGGAAGCGAAAGCAGCCAAATCTTCAAGGTATGTCAGCAGTAAAGGTTATCTTCAGGTCATAGGAGCGAGGGATGTCAGGAGGTCTCATGAGGAGGTCACAGGTTATCTTCTTGCACCAGGGAACAAGTATGAGGATTTGGTTAGCTATTTTCTAGGGCTGAAGGTCGGTATAGAGCTCTGGAACTTTTGCAAGAGAGCTGTGCAAACTTGATTTTCCCAGTGAGGGGCCAAGGACCATGTGAACTAGGGCCCTCTGCTTGAATTTTAGGCTCCAACACCTAGCCAATGAATTACATTACTCTTGTAGCATATGCAAGGTCCGGGTTCAATCCCCAGCGCCAACAAAAACCAATAGCAACAAACCACTAATCTTGTAAGAAAGTACTCAGAATGCTCTCACTGATAAAGCAGTCATTTATGGTCTGTGGACATACTTTCTGCTACAATTCACATACTCTATTTGAAAAAAAGACATAGTCCTAGTGGTTTTGAGGAGGAGGCCCATCAAAATAGCATGACTTAACTGTTGGTCTGCCACATGAAAGACAGAAAGGAAGAAAACACCTAAGGTTTTATTCATTATAAAGCTGACTCCCAGTGTTAAATGAAAAACTTGGCAAAATCATAAATGACCTCATCTATAATGCCATGGGATATTTTCACATATCATCTCAGTAAATTGAAAAGATAACATTTGTTAGTCTGGAAGCCATATAAAAGTGAAACTTATTTCTAAGAAATAGATAAAAACCACACTTAAAGAAAAAATGTATCAAGAAGTAAAATATGAGGAAAATCACACTTCAAAGACAGCCTGGGCAAGAGACTTTGAAAGCCCTGTCTGGAAAATACCCAACACAAAGCAGGGCTGGTGGAGTGGCTTAAGTGCTGGAGTGCCTGTGTAGCAAGCATGAGGCCCTGAGTTCAAACCCCAGTAACTCTCCACCCAAAGTCAAATATAAAATGCATTTGTTTTTTCAGTGCCAGGGTTCAAATACAGGACCCTATGCATTTTAGGCAAGAGCTTGACTACTGACCTAAACCATCATCCCTCAAAATGTCATTTGGTCTATGAAAAAGAAAGATGGAACATCAATAAAACGCAATAAATATTTAGAACCTGTCACCCAAGGCCAGTAAGATAAAGAAAATTTTATTACCTGGTGGGAATAAAACAAATAGCACCTATAAACCTACACTCTGCTGCCTAAACGGTACCTATAGAATTATGTCATCACATTTCAAAAGTGTGAATGAGACAAACATAGCCTAAAAGGTGTGTTTAAAAATGAGTCATTAGTACAAACCATACATGTGTAACTCTTAGAATATTTCTTTCAGGTCAGGTATTTTCTGGAGTATTATGCACAAATCACACAAACTGCTTTGTCTCCTCAAATTATTTTGGCTCATAGGACTTCACTATAAGAGGGATAGTCATGGAACAAATTATTTACTAAAACTGAAAACTGTTTTTCCCTCCTGTCAGGGTGTTGCAATGTGGCCATTGTAGGATGAGGCCAGGTAGGAGGGTCTCAAATTTGAGATCCTCCTGCTTAAGACTCCCCAGTTCTGGGATTACAGGCACTACTACCATACACAACAAAAGTGACAACTTGGAGTATTTTTCACATTCACATTATTCTGATATAGTGTGCATTCTTCTTCCAAGGAGGCCAAGTGAAGACTTACACATCTATTGAGAGGTGTCTTTTCATTCTCTGTGCTTTTATATCTGTGAATTGAACTTAGATGACCTGAGGTATTCCTAAGTGCTTTTTACTGTGAATATTACAGTGCTAAGAAGGTCACATAATAATGGAGCCTTCTTGCATTCTATACTTAAGAGTTTCTCTCCAGTGTGAGTCTTTGCATGTGTGAAAGGAACCTGGCATTATCGAGGACTTTCCCAAATTTACATCCACAGCGTTTCTCTCCACTGAGAATCCCTTATGGTATCAAAGGGAACTGGGGTCAACAAAGGCTTCCTACATTGCTTACACAGGCAGGGTTTATATCCAGTGTGAGTTGTTTCAAAAGTAGTTGGGACACCTGACAGTTTCCTGACATTCATCGCATTAACAGGGTTTCTTTTCAGTGTGAGTCTTTTCATGTCTATAAATACTGCTGTAATGACTGAAGGCTTTCCCACATTGCTTACATACATAGGGTTTTTCTCCTGTGTGAACTACTTCATGTCTTGGAAGGGAACTGGACCATATGAAGGCTTTCCCACACTGCTTACATACATAAGGCGTCTCTCCTTTGTGAGTTCTCTCATGTATGTGAAGGGAACTGGAGCGAGCAAAGGCTTTCCCACACTGCTGACACACGTAAGGCTTCTCTCCAGTGTGAATTCTTTTATGTATCTGAAGGGAATTGAATTGAGTGAAGGCTTTCCCACATTTCTTACATAAATAGGGTTTTTCTCCAGTGTGAGTTCTTTTATGCATTTGAAGGTGACCTGAACAAGTGAAGGCTTTCTCGCACTGCTTACATGTGTAGGGTTTTTCTCCAGTATGAATTCTTTTATGTATATGAAGGTTACTAGACCGAGTGAAGGCTTTGCCACACTGCTTACATGAATATGGTTTCTCTCCTGTGTGACTTCTTGTATGTACTTGAAGATCACTGGATTGAGTGAAGGCTTTCCCACACAGCTTACATAAATATGGTTTCTCTCCTGTGTGACTTCTTTCATGTGCTCCAAGGGAAGTATAAGAAGTGAAGGCTTTCCCACATAGCTTACACACATAGGGTTTCTCTCCAGTGTGCCTTCTTTCATGTGTTCGAAGGGAAGTATAAGAAGTGAAGGCTTTCCCACATAGCTTACACACATAGGGTTTCTCTCCAGTGTGACTTCTTTCATGTGCTCGAAGGGAAGTATAAGAAGTGAAGGCTTTCCCACATAGCTTACACACATAGGGTTTCTCTCCTGTGTGACTTCTTTCATGTGTTCGAAGGGAAGTATAAGAAGTGAAAGCTTTCCCACATAGCTTACATACATAGGGTTTCTCTCCAGTGTGACTTCTTTCATGGACCTGAACGTTACTGTGTCTTTTGAAGGTTTTCCCGCACTGCTTACATTCATGGTGTTTGTCTCTAGTGTGAATCCTTTTATGATTTTGAAGAGAACTGAGATATCTGAAGGCTTTATTACACTGTGAACATTCATAGGGTTTCTCTCCAGTGCGAGTCCTTTCATACTTATCAAGGCACTGGGGAGAACGGAAAGTTTCCCCATGTTCCTTACATATACGTGACTTCTCTCCATATCCTGGGTACTCATATGGTTTGTGTATACTGTGATCCCTGAAGGGCACATTTCCAGGAGAGTGACCATCGAGGACTTCTCCACACACATGCCTTTCACATGATACTGCTCCAGGAGTTCCCTTGTTCATAATCTCATGAGTCTGGCTGAAGGCTCCTCCCCATAGACAGTCTTCTTCATATTCACAGAGCTTCTCTACTGCTTGATTTCTGTAACAAAAGTGCAGTACATTACAAAGAGTTTGTTTCTCAATGATTTCACAGTTATTCATGGGTAGCACAGTTACATTTTTTTGGTTGTCAGAAAAACCATAGGCTTTATATCCTGTAGAGACTCCCTGAATAGTATGAATATTCAACAGCAGGGCACAACAGCCAAGGTCATCAAAGGAGTGATATTCATATAGGGTTCCTTAACACTGCCTCCATATTCACTTATTATGCAAATACTGAACATCTGTGGTACATTTAGATTTAGCTCAAGGAACCATCATCTAAAATTCATGGAATGAGAAGTGTTTTGGACTCTGGATTCTGAAATACTACCAAATATATATTAATACCTCAGAGATGAGACCCAAGTGTAAACATAAAATTCATTTGTGTTTCATATATGCCTTATACCCAAACCCTGAAGGTAATGTCATACAACATTTTCAATTATTTTGGGTATGAAACAAAAGTGTGTGCAATAAATCATCATAAAGTGTCATTTGTGCCATCATTTTGTGTTCAACAAGTCTAGGCTCTGTGAATTTTTGGGCTAGAGATGTTCATGCTATATAAAGATTTAGCGGATCGATCTACCTACCTACCTATCTATATCTATCTATGTACAGAATATATGGAGATACACATGCAAACACAACGGAGAGAGACAGAATATATATACATTTTGAAACAGGGTCCTTTATGTAGACAGCCCTCAAACTCACTAGGCAGCACAGGCTAACCTTGAACTTGTGATCCTCCAGCCTCAGCCTCCCAAATGCTAGGATTACAGGTGTGTACCACTCATATTTGTTTTGTTTGAAATACTTCCTGCCACTTCACATTTCCAGAGGAATAGCTTCCTCTTGTGAGTGTAATTTACCTTAGATATTTTCCAAGATTCTGGTCCTCCTTTTCAAAGTTCTGGTCTCTCCATTTTTGTCCTAAAATGTAGATCCAGAAAAACCATTATGAATTATTACAAAGTTATATAAAAATTGAGTTTAGGTTGAAGTTCCCTTGCAACCATGCCTAGTTTATTCACAAAAGCATTCCTTCTCATATTCGAAACCTCTGATCAACATTGGTGAGTACAGAACACCTCCTCCTTGACTCAGTGAAGGCATGATGTCACCCTTACCTACAGCATGCAGGTTCCTGATGGTTTCCCGCATCACAGATCTATACAGATTCTCCTGGGAAGGATTCAGCAAACTCCACTCCTCCAGGGTGAAGTTCACAGCCACGTCCTCAAAGGTCACCGACTCCTACAAGATCCACGTGTTCAGGAGAGAGGGTAAGATGGACAGCACCTGGGGTTTAGACTCAATTCACAAGTTCATATGATGTTGAGAAATTGGTAGGATAGTGGTTCGAAGCCAGCCCAGGCAAAAAGTATGTGAGACCCTATCTCAAAAGAATCATCACAAAAAAAGGGCTGGTGGAGTGGCGCAAGGTGTAGGCCCTGAGTTCAAGCACCAGTACCAAAAAAATATACATATTTGGGGAAAAGTCAAAGGAATAAGGAGAAAGAGCCACATATGCTTCAAATTAACTCCATGTCACCAAGATGTTTCCTCTCACATGTATCTACGAAATTCCTTAAATTTCCCCAACTAACTTTTTAGTAGTTACAAAATGTAGTGGGAATAACAAATGTGGAACAATATTTCCTTTGTTCTAAATGGGAAGATAACAGCTGCTTGGCCAACATAAAGAATTACAAAACCCCAACATTTGGACATTGTACTACGATTGGAGAGTTAATAATACTGAAATCCAGGAAAATGGTCTATAGGGTCAAGCTGTACATGGAGAGTAGATTCCTGATAGAACCGGTACTGCAGGACACTGGCACAAATCAGCATCTAACACACAGGGCAGAGACAAACAGGTATCTACCTGGAACCTGCAGTGCACACCCCTCTATTCCGTGCCCAATAATCACTTCACAGTGAAATGAGAATAAAATGCAAATTCTCTGAGAAACTCAGTCAAGTGTATTTGATGTTACAAAAGAGAATTTGCTCATAATAAAAACAGGAAGTCAAAAGAAATGGACTGGGCTGTGGAGTGGTTCAAGTGGTAGAGCCCCTGCCTAGCAAGAGTGAGACCCTGAGTTCAAACCCCAGTGCCACAAAAAAAAAGTTACAAAGGAAATGGAAAAATTTAAAGATATTAAAATTAATAGAGGCAAAAACAACATAACAAAATGGAACTATCTGCAATGCATGCAATGGTAAAAGAATTACTATACAGAGTAAAAATGAGAAAAAAATAAGAAAGGAAATGACCAAATGTATTTGTCAGAAGATAAAACACCCGATGAGAAGAAAGATCCAGGCACATGGAAATGAAGAGACAAGGAAATGTCGAGTAGATCGATTTCATACCTATGAAAAGGACAAAATTGAGCCCATGAGATAATACCAAGTGTTGATGGTCACTGCAAACCAACAGTTACACAGGAATGGCGATCAATAGCTGCCTTGCTATTTTCTGTATAATCTGAACTTGACCACAACTGACAGCATGGTCATCTTCCTCAAGAATGTACTGTGCTGTGGCACTTGGAGAAAGAAGAGACATGACAGGAGCAGTATTTAATACAAGAGTAAAAATCTTAACCCAAAAGTACCAAGTACAGAACCCCAGGGATGAGAAACTGGTCCGCCTCAGACCCTGGCACTTCTGAAACATACCTTGGCAAAGAAAACACCCATCAGCCTTTGCAATTCCATTAAGACTCACTTGCTCAAAGTTCAAAGGAAGCAATAATAAAAGAGCACTGCTTAGTAAAAAGTAACAGATTGTAAACACAGGAAAATTCACCAAAGAATCAGAGCATAGGGGCAAGACTGGCATGAAACATGCAGGAGACCACCTGGGGACACTACTGCCTGCAAGGCCAGTTATAAATCTTGATGTGGACTCCAAGGGAGTTTATATTGCTACTAAAACTAAATGTTATCAGAAATGTGTAACTCACACTTCTTCAAATATATTTCATCATAAAAATGCAAAGACTTAAGACTGAAAAGCACATCCTAATTTGTGTATGTTCATTTGTCCTGTAATATGACAATATGAGTTGGAATACACAGATCTGGTAGCTAAAATTGAGCAGCACAGGTCACAGCAATAGCTCCCCAGCAAGGAACAGGTGAGGTGTGTGACTGCCATCCAAGAGCCAGGCAGGTGAGCAGGTCAGAGCAGAGGAGACAGACACAAGGAAAGGTGTTCAAAGACTAGGCATTCTGCTTAAGGTGCCACACCTGCAGGTGTGGTCCTGATGTCCACTCTCATGACAATGTGGCACACAGAGGACAGGCGAGGCTTACCACTCACAGAACTACGGCCCCAAGGACAGTGAGCAGGCTTCTTACACAGGTATGCAGTGTCTTGAGAGCAAGTAGGGCAGCCAGGCCTGGAGCTTTGCTGAGGTTAACAGGAAACTACAGGGAACACTCACTCCCACATGCAGAGGTGGGTGGGTGACCTCAATCTCTTGCACCTTCAAGGAGGGGCCACCTTGGATTTTGATCCCCTTATCCTGATAGGAGGCACAAAGAGAAGGGGTGTCCAGAGATAAACGCTGCCAGCAAACATAAGGATTGAACTCAGAAACTTCCACACTCCAGCCCAGCATGGAAGGACATACAGGGGACATTCCCAGCCATACAAGGAAACATCAAAGAAATTTTAAATCAGGAACTCTTCTAGACTCATCAGAGAACTAAGGTCATGACACTACCCACTGTCCCCAAATGGAAGAGACAGACAGACAGACAACCATACCTTAATGTAACAGAAAATAATGAGCAGAGTCAGGGTCAGGAACCCTCAAGTGTCTCTGATGAAGTGCTGAAGTTAAAGAAAAGTTTACATGGGAAAAGATCCACAGGGCCCAGCTGAGCAGAGGCATTTTACCTCTAGAACTCCATCAGGTTCTCACAGTGAGGATCACAAAGAATCTGCTTTCTGCTGCTGACAGGAGGCTGGGCATATTTTTAAATATGCCCAGTGAATTCTGTTTTTAAGTCCTGCCTCCAAAAGTGCAACCCACAAAGTATAACAAAGTAAGATGTTACTGGGCCCAGGGTCTGGGGGAAAGGGAAACACAGATCCTCTGCTTCTCTGACTCCTAGATTCAATTTCATAGGGTGACATTGACAAGGACCCAGCTCAGGGACACAGGGTTCCTCAAAATGAAGCCAAACTATGGACCCAGAATGCTGCTCTCCACAACATGAATATGGCACCCATGAAATAATACCAGATAACAAAAGGAAGAACAAAATGTCTTGACAGGTTACTGAAAAAGTCTCCAGGGTATAGCTGTGAGTAGGGTACACTGATGAGTTAGAGAAATGGCTGGGAACACAGTCTACTGAGAAGCAGTGATGAAGAACTATGAACTCTGAGCAGACCCATAACGAACAAGATAATCAATAATCAAAAAAACCCTGTAAACAAAAGATGACGAGCTAGCTGATTCAGAGTACTGTGAAATCTCCACCACCTAACGCAGAATGAACATCAGCCTACTACTAATCTCCTCCAGAAACCACAGACAAGGGAAGACTCAGATTCACTCAGAGGCCAAATTTAAGCTGGCAGCAAAGATGGACACTGGGAAGATGTAGCCAATGTCCCTTGTGAATGCAGGTGCACAATCCACAAATAAATACCTGCACCCGGGCACAGTAATCAAAATCCAGTGAAGCGGGTATAGACACAGAGACATAAATGCCACAACAGACCAACACGCCCAGATTCCTAAATGTACAAGGCAGAGCGATTTTGGACAGGAGTATAAAAATCACTCAATGAGAAAAGAGCCATCTATTTTTTAAAAAATGTTCAGAAAACTGAAAAATAAATATCCACATGGAAGAGAATGAAGCCAAATCTTACCTTATTCCAAGTTAAAAAATAAAAGGGCTGCAATGTAGTCCCATCCCAGCACAAAAAGAAGAGAGAAGAAGGAACAGGAGGAGGAGGAAAGTTGAGCCTACCCACACAGCTATGAAAATATAGATTACGGGAGGCTAAGGAGCAAAGTAGTTTAGAAATGATGGTGTTTGAAAGAACCCCTGCTGCTGGGCTGCGGCTCAGAGGTAGAACACTTGCCTATCATGCACAAGGACAAATAAATAGAAATAAAGTCCCTGAGACACACCGAGGAACTCAGAAAATCCTGTGTGTGACAAAGAAACAACATATTTTAGAACAGAACTAAGAAGTTCTGCAGGAAGCGAAGGCCAAAGCAGACTTTTAACTACCCAGGCTCAGCATTAAAGGGAGAGCAGGCAAAGCCTGGAAGATGTGAGGATTTGTCTGTTTCCTCTTGTTCTTTTGGCTCAAAACACTTGCTAAATATAAGTGAAAGGAACTGCACTGTGAGGTGCACTGTGCACCTCATGAAAACATCACTTGGAAAATTCACAAGGCAAATAGACCACTTCTGCCATTGAGAGGAACAGTAGGGCTGGGCCGGGCTCAAGTGGTAAAGGGCTTGTCTGGCAACCACAAGGCAGTGAGTTCAAACCCCAACACTGCAAGCAAAAAAGTTTAACCCTAAGAAAGAAAAACCTCATCTCTGGAGTAAACTCATTACAATATTCAAATGGGCACATTTTTTCTGGGGTTTGAACTTAGCGTCCCACACTTGCTAGGCCAGCGCTCTCTCACTTAGGCCATGCCCGCATCCATTTTTCCTTTGGCTTATTTCCAAATAGGGTCTTCTGGTTTTGTCCTGGCAGGCCTGGACCATGAAGGTCCTATTTGCACCTCCCTTGGAGCAGGGGTGACAGATGTGCAGCACCACATTCAGCTTAATGGGTGAGACAGGGTTTGAGCTGTGCTGGCCTCAGACCTACATCTTCTGAAGTCTGTCTCCTGAATCTCTGGGATTGTAGACATGAGCCACAATCATGAAAAGTGAGCTGATCCTCGAATGCCTGTTTTTCAATACTATGGTTGAGGGGAGAGGGAAGGAGAGAGAGAGCACAGGTGAGAGAGAGAGAGAGAGAGAGAGAGAGAGAGAGAGAGAGAGAGAGAGAGAGAGACAAAGAGAGAGACAGATTGAATTTCATATAATCTGAAGGGCCACATAGAAAAAATTCTCAGAGCCAGAGGACAAGCAAAGCTAAATAAATTAGGTTTCAAGTGTCAACATTCAAGTGTTGACAAGTCAACAATAAACA